TTAGTTTAGTTTTTCATTTTGAAAGTGATTTTTTTTTCTCGTTTCTAATTCCACTTATTTTTAATGTTTCTAATTCAGAAACACTGCCAGTTCATGTTCTTCAGAACTCTGTGCTCCTTTTGAAACAGTGTTTTGATCTGTTTAGTGAACATGTCTCTCCGGTGAGTTTTGTCATCTGTAGGAATGCTGCTTCTTCTTATTCTCTTTCATTATAACTGTTTTCATTTCTTTGTGGGGTGTGTGTGTCCATGCATTTATGCATTTGTGTGCAAGTGCAGGTCATGTGGAGGCCAGATGTTGAAGTCTAGTGTCTTCTATCACTTATCATCTTAAAAAATAATTTATTTCATTTTATCTCAGGTGCATTGGTGTGAAGGCATCAGATTCTCTGGAACTGGAGTTAGGGACAGTTGTGAGCTGTCATGTGGGTCCCGGAGATTGAACTGGTGTCATCTGGATGAGCAGCCAGTGTTCTTAACCACTGAGCCATCTTTCCAGCCTCAATACCTTATGTTTTGAGACAGAGTCTCTCACCAAACCTGGAACTTACGGATTCATCTATTATAGCTGGCCAACAAGTCTTCAGTATCCTGTCTTTACTTTGTCCCAGGGTTAGGATCATGGACACACACCATTGGGTCTGGCTTTTAATGAGGGTGCTAGGGATCAAACTTAGATCCTTAGTCTTTGCAGCAGGCACTTTTGGATGGAGTCAACTCTCTAGCCTTCTCATTGCAACCTTTTTTTCCCCCTAATGTCAACACATACTTTCTTGAGATTATTTTTTATGTGAAATTTGTTTTCTTAAGTTTTTGAGATGGTTTAAGACAGCTTTTCCAATTAGTTTGTATTCTTTTCTCATAGTCTTCTCTTGCCTTTGCTTCTTGTCGACTCAATTATGCTTCATTCTCAGCAGTTTGTCCTTGGTGTGGATGCCTTTCCGGGAAGGGAAGTCTCCTTAAGCTGTTTTCAAAGTTGCTTCAGTCCTACTTCTCAGCCTCTCCTTCCTTCAACACAACCTTATTTGGAGCCTATACCTCTTTCTGTTTCCACTGCTGCCCTCAACCAGGCAGGCTGGATCTTCGAGCAAACACCTTGGGCTATCCTGGAGTTCTATGGATGCCTCACTGATTCCTGACGCTGATACTACAAACATTTCAGGGTGATGAGTATTTGTTAGAGTCATTTGCTCCTATTTTGAAAAGCCCAAGGATATAATTTCCCTTAGATATGTAGTTGTTGATGTTTCCCTTGGGTGGTTTTGGGGATTCTCTGTTCTTTCTCCTTTAATGTGTTGTGGTTTTGTCTGTTTTTATATGAGGACTTAAAAACTGTTGTGGCTTGTCATCTTCCCTGAATTATCCTCTAATACACTTTAAAGTTGTTATCTTGAAAAGCATATACCCAGCCACAGGCATCATTTTGTAGACATCAAGTCAGCCACCTCTAGCCAAGCCCACAGCTAGCAATGTCTCCTACTTTTATTTACACAGTTGTCATAGCCCCCAATGTCTCTCCCATGCTATGCCACTACAGTAGTGGCTGTTTTAAAATATTAAGTCAGGTCACTGTCACTTCTCAGTTTCCAATTTTTAAGGACTGTCACCTGGCCTGTTTTTTTCCCTCTGACCTCTTGTCCACTGTATTAGGCTGCTTCAGGATCCTGGCCTCAAATATTTAATTTGAAGCTCTTGCCTCAGGGTATGTGTGCTGTTGGCCTCTGCCTCAAAACTCTTCCTGCTGATTTTCACCTCCTTTATTCCCTCTAGTCTCAGCTCAAATATGGTCTATGGATTAAAGCTTTCCCTGATTTGACTTAAATCTTTATTGGTAAAACAATTACTTTTCTCCCCATCTCCATTCTTAATTTCCTTTATAGTACCTTTAAACTGTGTTGTGTCATATATATATATTTCTACTCATAATGAAAATTCCATGAGTGTAAAGAACATTGGGCTCTTAAGAGTCCTGATTCAGGCCCAGCACAAAGCTGGCACTCAATAAAAATCTGTTAACTGTTTGAATGAGTGACTAAACGAAACATCAAGTATCTAGAACCCAATAGGTATTCAAGAACTTCCTCCCTCCCCTTTTTTTTTTCTGTCAAGGAAAAGAAAGTGATTTCTAGGGGATGCCAGTGTTCCCTATAATGGAAAAAATGAGAATGGAAACAAATGTAATGAAACAAACAGCATAAAAAAAGAGGGGGTGATCTAATACACCAAACATACGGTTGTCAAGATAAAGCTCTAAGAAGAGGCTTCAAAACCTGTCAACAGACTGACTTCAGTCGCCACCCCCAAACACACCTCCTGAGACACTGATGCCTAAGGATACTGTAGAGGGAGTCTAGAGACAGAGCCCTTAAGACAAAGAGTCAAAGTATTAATCAGATAGTGTTAGTATGCTAAGAAGAAAGTCCCACCATGTGAGAACATAGCAAGAAAAAAGCTATTGGCTAAAAGATGCTGAGAGTCCTGGTGAGAAACATTTTTGAAGC